TTCCAGTTATAAACAACATGAATCAAAGATGTGTTGCTGTATTTTAGTGGTAAAAAAAATCATAATTATTCTATATATATAATTTACACAGTGCCTGTAAACCAGAGGAGAATGCTGGCATTTCTCCTCCTACTTGAAAGACTACGGAGGGATAGGGCCTGAAAATTAGTTTATTTTGGGGATTGACTGGATGCTCTGACCGGTCGCATCGAAAATAGACTTGCATCGGAGCCCAGAGTCCGCGGATTGATCAATTTGGACCAATCCACGGACTTAACGTAACGGCTCCACGGACGTAACGGCTCCACGGACGTAACGTAACGGCTCCACGGATTGGTCCATTTTGACCAATCCACGGAGGGGTTGTCGTTACGTCACTTGGTTCCCGGAAGAAAAAAATTGAAAAAGAAAATCTCCAACGAGGCGTTCTGGGGCAGGTCTTTTCTGTGTTAGAGTTTTACTCGCTACAGGGTGTACTTTGAGAGTTTGTTACCCTGCAGACCGTTTACATGCAGAAAAACCTTCATAACACACAAGTGGACGGGTAATAACCGTAAAAGCATGACATGGGGCCTTTAACAGAGGCACGATGATCCTCAGGCACTACTTTCAAACAAAGCACCAACCCAATACAAATTAAGATGCTGTACCATGTATTGCTATATATTGAGGATAAAAAAAGGAACTGAAGAAGTAGCGGAAAAAAGATGGGGAGAAATAAAATTGGCTTCTCTTTAACACGACAAGGAAGAAGAAATGGAATTCTCTGTTACAAGATGCTGTATATAAGATGTAAACGGTATTGCTTACTCTTACTTGTCCCATCAGGGGAGAGTTTAAATGTCTTGACTGCAGGCATAACCTTTTTTTCATCACAATTTATTACAAGAATAAGAGAAGCACTTCGGAGAGCTCAGACCAGGAAAGTTTTAGCTTTATACAAATGTATTTACCACTTATTCACAGGGATGATCAATTCTGTTTCTGATTGGCAGCACATTCCTGGGTATAACTCTGTGAGAGATTTAGTGTGGCAAGATATGGAGTCAGTCCACTTTTTCAGAGTTACACATGCAAATTGGTTTGTGTTAGCACCGCTGCCAAACTCCTGTTGCACATAATGAAGTCAGAGACGAGCCGTGTCTCATTTTTATGACTCAAAGTTATACCTGCACTGACAGAAAACACTCTGCCCCAACTTGATGGGATGAGAATTGCAATTCAGCTGCACTTCTAGGTCAGGTCATGCAGAATGAATACAGTAAGGGAAATTCAGCACAGTCAATGTTTAAATATGTGATTCAGCCTTTTTTGCATTCCCCCTGCAAGCTTGAAATCTTGTATAAGTCATGACACATCTGCAAAAGGTTCTCACAACCCTGTTTTTTGTTTGCCTGTGATTAAAAGAATATTTTTGAAAGAGAAAACTGTCTTTTGATTACAATTGGAATAAAGCAAATCCACTTTAAGAAAGTTAAGGCTTTTATTTGATAACGCAATTGTATTTATGTTATTCTTTAGAAAATAACAGGCTACACTGAAAAAGATGTGTGCTTCGCTATCTTTCTGTATTTGTCTTCGGCCCACTCTTACTGAAGCCTTATATCACAGCATAGCACAGCAATACATTTTAAAAGCACACTTTTCTAACATAAATGGTCTTTCACTCACCATACACAATCATACATATTCAATACTCTATGTCCTCAACCTATGTAGGATCTAAACACACATGCATCCCTCCACACACACATGTGAAAGCTATCCATCCCCATTACAAACATTGACACATATCCAGCACCAGTCAATGTCCTGCTCACACAGATCAATAAGCTGTGCTTCAGGCTGTGCTTACATACCACCGAGTGTCACTAGAGCAGAAAACTCCCCAACCTGCTTACATAATCTCATTTCAATTGACATGGCTAGCAACATGTACTGTATGCACATGTGTGTCCGTGTCAACTTGAAAATCAACTTCACCATTAAATCGCTTTTTTTCATGGCTATCTGTGTCAACAGGATGGTAGCTGAGAGCCCTCCCTGACAGGTGGTCTCTGTGTGGCACACAGGTGTGTTTAGACTGTAAGGTTGAGCCCATTTTGAGCAGAAATCTTTGACCTTCGTGTCGTTAATTCTTGCATGCTGCTGCAGCCGACTGTATGGCTGTTGCAGTAAGTGATGTATCAATAAGGAAAAGGGGTGTGCGGGTCCAATGCCCAACAGTTACAGCTCATAGTTTAACTTCATCTATAAAACATTCATATCTGTTTTCAATTGAGCTTGAGGAGAGTCCCTAGGTATACTTTATTTATGATGCTGGCAACAGCAGTGTGCCGGCGCTGAAAAATGAATGAGACATTTGGAAAGACCTTCCTGTGAATCAGCATTTCCCCTCCTCCAGAGCCCTATAATATCTATACGGCGCTGCCCTCCTCCATTCACCGTAAAACAGGACAAGGACAGCAAATAAGCAGTTAGGCTTTTCTGTGAGTGTCTCAAATACACATACAGTATAACAGCAGCATCCCCCAGTTCATCAAGGTCTCAGCAGCAGCTCTCTGTGTTGAATTTCAATGTAGTAGATTTTGTGGCGAGATGCCTGGATGCTGGCAGGTCCTTCCCTGGAGGGCCAGTGCAGACTGATGGATATGCTGGAGGCACTTTCCCCTCAAAGGTGTTTATGCGAAACGCTGTGACTGAACAACAGGGAGAAGAACCATGTACATCCCAAGGCATAGCTTCCTGCTGTAGCCAACCAGCATATTACTGGAGGCAACTTCAGCACGTAGAGAGTAATGCTGACAGCTAAGCTTGTACCGTTTTACCTGAACTACTTCATAGTTGCCTGCAGGGAATTTTTTTTTCTCTCACAGGTCAGGCCAAAGGAAGTGTCTTTGCATTAATAGCTATAGTCATATTGGGCTTTCATTACTATTACTAACAGGCCAATGTGGCGGTGCTTTTTCTGACAATGGAATGGGGGGGAAAAAAATCACAATTTGGGTAAAACTGCTCACAACAGATGGGGGTAGAATTTAATTTGAAAGTCTTGACTTTGATGTGAGCAATTGTTTCTTTTCAAATGTAAATGTGTTTACATTTTTATATAATTTGATTGTGGACATGCTGTGCTGATTTTTCACATGTGGTGCTTCTTAAGATTAATGTAAAAGGAAGGGAAATGGTAAAAATAAGAAATGTGGTCACAAAAATGTTTATAAAACCTCTCACCAAATCACTCTCACTTCTTGTTAAGAGGGGTAGTGCAAGCTGTATGTGCTTATCAGCCAAAAAGATCAGAATACTTTTTTTCAAGACAATTGTTCATGGTGATGTCACTAAAAACACATGATCACAAATAACCTCACACGAAAGTTAGTTTATCATATTATTAAGATGTGCAAATAAAAAGTAATGGTCTTTCTTCACACACTGTTATGTGATCATGAGTATTTTTGTACCAATGCCTTCAGACAGCCTTCTGGGTGCAACACCTCCCATTAAACACATGGGGGCAGCAGCGCTCCACTGACAGGAGTGAGCTACTACACGTGTAATTTCGTTATTAAATTCATATTCATTTATTGTTTCCATAGTTTTAAAGAATCTACTTGATTTCATTTAGTCATTCATGGTGTAGATAGTTGGTGTTTCAATGTTTTCATATGCCTTTATTTAAAGCTCTTTGAATTTGCCTTAACAAATCACGTGATTCATAATGGAATGTGTGTGCGTAAATTACATTGGCAAGCACATGCAGTCACGTGTGAGAATGACGTATAGTTCTAGTTAATTGTGACGTATTTAGAATTTGAAAACACCAAAGGTAATTCTAGGGTTCTGGAAGGAAAGTGAAGTTCCATTTCATCTTCTGAACCCTAAACAGGCAGCAGACAGGACAGAAAGTTATATTAATCCTAGATATATAGATAGATATTCATTTATCTCCGACTACATTTACAGCCAGACTTCTTCATCAAACAGTATTACTTATTATCATTATTATCATTGCTTATTAGCACAAAGGCCAGACCATATTTATGTGGCTTCCCACTGAGTGGTCAACATTTTACTATACTAAATAGTTTAAAGGGTCAAAATAAGTAAATTAATATATGATAGCTTTTCCGTAGAAGCAGCTTTTCATCCTGTTTAGATATTGTGTTATTTTCTATCATTGGAACCTTTGAAAAAGCACATTTACAGCTAATAGTAGTTTAACAGTGGTGTTAACTTAAACCAAGGGCAACTACAATATTTGGAGAAGTTGTTTACAGTAGTAAAAGCTCTTTTGTTGGTTTACAGTCATGTCACGGAGAAGCTCACGATTAGACTCCCAAGGATACTACAACAATGATGGACTACCAATCATTTGCTACAAGGAACACCTGAACAGGTAAGCTAAGGTTTGTGTGAGTGTGTGTGTGTGTGTGTGTGTGTGTGTGTGTGTGTGTGTGTGTGTGCGCGCGCGTGTGTGTGTGTGTGTGTCTACAATTTTCATTATAGATCTTCAGACCTTTAACTTTTTATTTTATTTAAATTACATTCAGGACTGTTAACAGCAGATGTTTGAGGATCTCTTCATGCAGTAGTAGAGCAGAGTCCACAAGATACCTAGAAAGACACAAAACCAGCACCAGAAACATAAATAATAACATAATAACAAACATGGACAAGAACAGAAAGAGTTACAAAGACAGCAAGCAAATTAGTGACTATGACAGCAACGAAATGAGCGACTCCTACAGAAACGATGTCAACAACACAAGTAGTAACAGACACAGAAACAGCAGGTTCTCCACTATATTCAACCAAAATATGTTTGGCTTTCTCTTCTTCATACTCGTCCTGTATTTTGGTAAGTGTAACAAACAACTCTATCAACTTTAGTTCCTCAGCTTTTTACTTTTATATTTTCTGTCTTTTGAAGAACAAATGTCTCTGACCTGTTTCTTCTATTCTTTGTGTCTCTCCATCTACCAGGATTTGCATGCAGAGAAGAGTTTCTCAGATTAAACAAAGACACAATGACCAACTTCAAGGGTCAAGGTAAGACATTAAAATCATATTTATCATTTTCATTAGCAAACAAACTAGTGACAGTGACAGCAACACAATTAGCAACAGAAACATTGACAGCTTCTTAAACACTTTCATATTGTCTATCTTTTGAAAATCGTGAAAAAAAACGGTTTCTTTTATGCTTTGTTTCCCTCCATCCTTTAGTAAACACATTGAGTGAAGAGATTCTCACATTAAACAAAGTCCTGAACTCCCTGCAACCGGTGGCGGACACTATGCCCAACTTCGCTCTGGAGAGTCAAGGTAAGACATTAAAATCATATGTATCATTTTCATTAGCAAACAAACTAGTGACAGTGACAGCAACACAATTAGCAACAGAAACATTGACAGCTTCTTAAACACTTTCATATTGTCTATCTTTTGAAAATCGTGAAAAAAACGGTTTCTTTTATGCTTTGTTTCCCTCCATCCTTTAGTAAACACATTAAGTGAAGAGATTCTCAGATTAAACAAAGTCCTGAACTCCCTGCAACCGGTGGCGGACACTATGCCCAACTTCGCTCTGGAGAGTCAACGTAAGACATTTAAATCATATGTATCATTTTCATCTGTTAGATTGTAATATCCAAACATATTTTTAACTTTGAGAACGATTGTATCTCACTCACTTTGTGCGTGTGTTTTTTCTGTGCAGAGGCAAGAGTTTTACTTGATCAGTCTTCACAAACGTACTCCAAACGAAGAAGCTGCGCCTATCTTTTTGGAATGTTTTGTAAACGACCTGTACACCCAAGGACAGTCCTTCAGGTAGGATCTACAAACACCAAAACAAATGGCAAATTATAGAAAGGTTTGGGATTTTTAAGCAACCTACCATCTCAACTCTATTTTTATACTCTTTCTTCACTCAGGGAGGCTCACCCCCCGGACGGTGCTGGCCCTTTGAAGGTGGGCGGGGGCATTTATTCATTGCCCTGTCACACCCAGTCTACATCAGCCATGTGACACTAGGTCACATTTCAAAGAACTTGTCCCCAACTGGCATCATTCCTAGCGCCCCAAAGACGTTTTCTGTCTATGTAAGTCACAAATGTATCATTGTTACATTACAGATGTTCAGTTTAAGTGGGAACAATAAGGTGTTCAACTGTGTCTCTATATTCCTCTCTTGCAGGGCATGAATACTTTAGATGACAAAGGAACCTATCTAGGAACCTTTCTGTATGATCAGGACGGGGACGCAACACAAACTTTTGAGCTACCTGTGAGTATTACACTATGCAATACACACATGTCCATTCTTCTTTTTCACACACAAGCTAAAATATTAAAGGAGTAACAGTTTTGTCATTAAATAATTTGTTTCCCATACTGTCAGTTTTTACTCAACAAGCTGTTTCTGCTCTTTTCTCACATCTCTTAGGATCATGGAAAAGTTGTCTTCAAATACGTGAAACTACAAGTTGAGAGCAACTGGGGTCACCCCGACTACACCTGTCTGTACAACTTCAGAGTTCACGGAAAGCTGGCAGAAGTTACAGACGGGAAGGAGGCAGGCAGGGACGGGGAGGAGGAGGAGGAGGAGGGAGGAGGAGGAGGAGGAGGAGGAGGAGGAGGAGGAGGAGAGGACCAGAGGAGGAGGAGGAGGAGGAGGACCACAGGAGGAGGAGAGGAGGAACACAGGAGGAGGAGAGCAGGAGGAGGAGGAGGAGGAGGAGGAGGAGGAGGAGGAGGAGGAGGAGGAGGAGAGGAACCAGAGAGGAGGAGAGGAGGAACAGAGGAGGAGGAGGATGAGGAGGAGGAGGAGGAGAGAGGAGAGGAGGAGGAGGAGAGGGAGAGAGAGGAGAGGAGAGAGGGAGAGAGAGGAGGAGGAGGAGGATGATGAGGAGAGGAGTTAGGATGATGATTATTCTTATTATATTAGTACCATATTATTATAGTATTATAACATATATATTATTATATTTTATTATTATTTATTATATTATTATTATATTATTATTATATACTGCATATACATTAACATAAATACACCTACAGTTATTTGTGTTTGTTTAGTTACACATTATTAATCAAGAAAATACAATCATTTTTTAAATAAATGATTCAAAATAATGATTGTATTTTGACGCTTTCCGATACCGAGAAAAGAAGAAGACGCTTTCCGATTGTTGATACCGGAAGTGAAATACATTCATATCCGGTGTTAACTATGCGGACGTTAGGCAGCTAACTATTGCTAGTAAGAACAGAGAAAGAAAGCTTCATTCGCCTTTAAAGCGTATATCACAACTATTTCGGTCACCACGAATGGCCGTCCTCAGATCCCCATCACCGTCCGGGCTCCTCCGGCCGCCGCCATCCCGGCCGCCCCGCGGGGGAAGAAGCGTCCCGCGAGCCCGGCGGCTGGTTCCGCTCAGCCGGTCCCCGGGAGCAGCAAGAAGAAGAAAGGGCAGCTGACAGCCACACCAGCGGCGACACAGACACAGGTACAGTGCTACCGTCTGCATGTGAAGCGTGCATCATTGTGCGAAACTCAGAGATCTATATAACGTTTTCTGTGTGCAAGGGAATTCAAAGTAGCTAAGATGCAATGCAAGGGTTTCAAATACTGACAGAGGTGGGAGAAGTACTCCGATCAGAGTTTTACTGTCACAAGTAAAAGTCCCGCAGTTAAAATATAACTCAAGTAAAAGTAAAAAAATATTAGCATCAAAATATACGAAGTACTCATTATGCAGATTAGTCCATTTCAGGATACAATTATGTGTTTATTATATTTGAAATCATTAGTTCAAATCTGCAAAGTAACTAAAGATATTAAATACATGTGTCAGAGTAAAGGCACACAATTTACCTCTGTAGTGGAGTAGAAGTACAAAGTAGCATACAATGTAAATACTCAGGTAAAGTACAAGTATCACAAAATTGTACTTTGCCAGAATCTACCCAAATGTACCCACCTCTGAATACTGAATTCTCTACCGACACTTGAACCCTCATCGAAAACAAAGAAAAAAGCAGCATATTTTAACGCCAAAGATTTGTTTGTATTGTTTCCTGATAACTGCCTTTAAATGGTTGATCAAAGAAAAAAGAGTTGCTAATTAATTCTCTGTTATGTTTACTACTACTGTTTGAACAAATCATGTTTTTAATAAAAAGATAGCCAAAAAGCAAATATGTACATAAGTGCTGTGTAGTAACAGCTAGAAAGCAATGTCATTAAATTGTATCTTTAAGATTCATGTAAGTGTTTAAAAGTTAAAGTTAAAATAAAATATTTTTAATTCTGTGTTGTTTCTGTTGTTGTTACTCTTGTTGTCTGATGTCCTCTTTCATGCTTCATCAGATAACAGCAGCAGAGTCGGTGGCGGAGGTGAAGGCAGTGGGAACAGTTGAAATCGCTCCAAATGTTCTCTCAGAGTCAACAGCGAAGCCTCCACCGTTCAAAGACCCCGCCTTCGTGGTGAGTGTCCGCGTCCATGTGGGTTTAAGTTCATCTGCTGCTGAGGGCTCTTCCCTCACTGTCTCTGCCCCCTCTCTTAATCTCTGCAGCATTCTGGGATTGGTGGAGCAGCAGCGGGTAAAAAGAACCGGACCTGGAAAAATCTCAAACAGATTCTGGCTTTGGAGCGGACTTTACCCTGGAAGCTTGATGATCCCAACTGTATGTTTTTATATCTTATAATTTCATGTTGCACACTTTTATCAAAAGTACACTACCAGTCAAAAGTTTGGACAAATCTTCTCATTCAAAGTTTTTTATTAACTAGATAATTCCATATGTGTTCTTTCATAGTTTTGATGTCTTCAGTATTAATGTACAACGTAGAACAACATTAAAATAAACAAAAAGCCATTGAATGAGAAGGTGTGTCCAAACTTTTGACTGGTTCTGTACATGAAACTGAATCTTTTTTGTGGTGTGGTGGTTTTGAAAAAAAGTCAAAGCTGTGCTATATTATTACATAAATTACGAAACTGCACAGAAAAGTCTACAAGTAATTAAATGTAAGACCTCTGTGTTCACAGACTACAGCATTGAGGCCCCTCCCTCCTTGAAGCCAACCAAGAAATACTCTGACATCTCTGGACTCCCTGTGAGTTATCACTTTACTAAAATACTCACTTTACGATAAACAAAATCACTTTTAAATCTTCTCTGAAGCACACACTGAATACGCTCTCTTTTTCCTCAGGCAAACTACACAGACCCTCAGACAAAGCTCCGCTTCACGTCCTCTGAGGAGTTCTCCTACATCCGCCTCCTCCCCACTGATGTAGTGACCGGATACCTGGCCCTTCGAAAGGCAACATGCATCGTCCCCTGACAGCCGAGCAAGACTTGAAGAGTGAAATACATTTAAACCCGAGCTGAACTCATGTTTGTGTTTGAGCTGTCGGGCCTGCAAGGAACCAATGAGAGCGCTGTCTCCACAGAGAGGACACGGAGAAGTGCACTTCTTAAATGAACAGATGGTGCCACCAAACATTTGCACAGCTGTTTTAGGAAAGGCTTTAACTTATTATTCAGAGTTACTGTGTGACAAATAAATGCAACAAATAGTATACTTTATTTGAATGCTTATTCTCTTTACGAGACATGTTTGTTGTCTGTAGCTGGATATCATAATTTCACTGTGAGAGAATGTATGACAAGTGTTATCTTTAATGATATTTGTTCCCGATACATTTGAAAGCTTGATGTGGATTTGCTCCTGCTAAATCACATGGAATTACAGGATGCTGTGCGCCCCCTTGTGGTAGAACATTCAGGGGGGTAACAATAAAAAAAGCTGTTGGAAGAAGTTTGCCCATTTTAGAATGATTGTTACTTTTTACAAGTAGCTCATTGAACCTTACTTGAATACGTTTGATTTCAGTTTATCTCTTATTCATCTGTGTTTTCTAATATGTTTTGTATGAATAAATATTTCTAAGTGATACATTTAGAAAAATCGATGTCTGTTCCAATCTCAATGTTGCTTTTATGACAGCCTTTAATAACATTGGTTTGACAATGATATCAAACACTCCTCTGTGTTAAGGGCCACATCTACTGCTGTACATTTGTTTAAAACGCAGTGGCCTGCATCTATGTAAACTATGAACATGTAGCAGGCTAAGCCAAACCTTAATGAGCCAAGAGTCACCAAGCAGTCCTAATTCACATGTGTCATATGTAAATGTAAATTAGTTCCACATGGTTCTAATTCCCCGGCTGCGTTTGATGGATGATTTGCTCTCCGACTGGTACAGTGAGGATGTCTCATTAATCACACATGGCAGGCATCCAGGATAATTTCCATGGTACATTTTACGCTATTTTCACACACTTGATGAATGAGGACCATTGTATTACACATGTGAGCCATCCCTATAATGCTAACGAAGAATAAAAGAGCCGGCACAATTATCGAGGATCATTCATCTGAAAGTACAAGCCTTGACTGCAAAACTTTATACCCAGGTTTATTGCCATAAATATGATGATGTATTATCAGTAAAAAATTCTACGTGACACAGACACATTGGATTAACCTTGAGCAGCGTTTTTATTCCGTTGAACACAACTTTTGATCACAAATCAAAAAAGGTAAAATGTAATTATTGTAATATTTTTGAAACCGGATGTTGTTTACTTTCTCTTTTCTGGCTGAAAGCTCCGCAAATTCGGGGTCGTACAGTGATGACACTACATGTATGGAATATGTGGAGTCTCAGCTTTAATCGGATATCTTGTTTGTGCAGTTACGATAAGTAATAAGGGCATTTTGAGAGTGAGTGCTGTGCAAAACTCCGTTAGCATTAGTTAGCATTTTTTCGCAAAATGCTAATTCTAAGGCTTGGTATTACTCTTGTGTTTCTTTTAGCTAAAAATGGTTCATATCTTCAGTTAGCTGAGATTATTACCGTTAATCTGGTGCTACACATTAATAGTTTCATAAATTTAAGAAGCCCTGAGACATTATCTAAAAAAAAAAAAGTGTTTATTTTCAAAGTGATGGGGATGAAATGGCTCTATAGTCACTAAATGTGTTTCATTCACACACTCAAAATGGCATGTTTACTGCCAAGGAAACAGGAATTACAGGAATTAATCTAATCTCTTTGTTTTTCCACATTTCTTTTCATAGTGATGGAGATGAGGATGCAATGGCTTCACCACTGCCTACTTTCACCCAGACCACACCTGCCACACCTGCCTCACCATCACATTCCTCCAGAAAGAGATCTGCACCAGTATTGGCCACTCAGCCTGCATCCAAAAAGCACTCACTTACCATCGTCTGGTTTCTACCAGCTTTCTGCAGCGTCAGATGCATCTGTAAACCAAAGGAAGCGTGGCCGAGGTGGGGCTCCCGCTCCTCAGCCAGGAAAAGGAAAAGCATCAGATAAATGTGTAAAACGCAGGAAGCGTGGCCAAGGTTCTTCCTCTTCCAGAATGACAGAAGAAGAACTCGGGTGGCACAACAGAGAGGAGAATGACCAAACACCAGAGCCACTGAATTTCACACCAGCCAGGGTCCCAGGCCCAGCGCTCGACCCCACTGTAGCATGGTCTCCCCTCTCCATTTTCAGACTTTTTTTTAGCGCTTCAGTGGTTCATACAATCATTTCCAACACGAACGCCAACGCCCTGAAAAGACTGCAGGCTGGAAAGAAGCATGTTTGGAAAATGCTGACTGTGAGGGATTTCTATGTTTTCCTGTCCATTATAATTTTCTCAGGCCTCGTCACCGTTCCCAACCGATCGGACTACTGGAGGAAGAAATGGCCATACTGTATAACTTCAATTTCCCAGGTGATTCCACAAGGAGCTGCACAAGATGACGAGTGACCCCAGCAGGACAAAGCCACACACACAGAAGACTTTCAGGGAGCAGCTTGCTGCAGAAATGTTGGAATTTGGAACACCTCCACCCCCCCACCACCACTCACATGCAGGCCCAAGTTTTATGGGAAAGATGTCCGGATCAGGAAGAACTGCAGGAACTGCCATGATGCTGGCAAAAAGAAGGTGAAGACAGCTGTGTACTGCAGGAAGTGTGAGGTCCCTCTGTGCTTCACTTCCAAAAAAAATTGTTACGAGGAATGGCATGCTAAATTGTAAAGTTTTAAATAAATCTGCTCCAGTTGGAGTCAAACTTCATTTTGTATATTTTTTTTATTTTTTTATTTTTTTTTACAACAGTTGTATTTGGATGGAATGAATACCTATAGTGATAATTCAAAGTAATAAAATGATTTTTACAGTGAAAAAGGTCAAATGGAACTGATGGTTCCCAAATTACCCAGAGGTGAGTCCGCCTGGACTTTATTTTTCTAAATCTCTCTAAAAAGGTCAAATTTATCTTGTTTTGCATCAATCTTGATACAGGGTACTTATTATATTTTGTACTTTGGATTCCTAAAGCTTTTAGTCTACTAACCCATCATCCAAGGGTGGTTTTCACTATCTGTAATGGGGTTTTTTTAGGCGGAGATAGAATTTACATGTTTTTACTATGTTCCATATGAATTTATTTTAAAATAAAAACATCTATATTGATTTCTGACACTTCTTCATCCAACTCACAGATGTAACCTTGCTTTGAGAAAAAAGATTATTAATTTCCCCCTTTTAGAAGTGAAGATATAGTCTTTGTTGTGTAAGTGGCATTTTCGAGCCTGAAAGCTGAAAAACAGGCTCAGGGCTTAACAGGTTAAAACAATACTTTAAAGCCTATTTAAAAGTAGCTGTATCCTTCCCCTTGTTAACTAGAGTTTCTAAACAGGGGTTAAGAAAAGTTGATCCTGAATCCAACATCTCTGCGATGCTTTTATAGTTTAAATATTCTATCCATTTATCTCCTGAACACCAGTCTGTGTTAACCAGAGCTACTTCATATTCCCAAGATCTTATCAGGTCATTGGATAGTAAAATCTTTATAGTGCAAGGTAGTTTCATATCTAAATTATTTGGGAAACTTCAGCTTCAAAAACCTTGTTAAAGGTTAAAGGAAATATACCTGTGTGTTGAAATATGTACACTAAAACCCCAAAACACTGCTGAGACTTGTGAAACAGGTCAATTCGAGAGGGGAAATAACTCTCACCTGTTTTTATTGGTCACTACTTTCAAACAAAGCACCAACCCAATACAAATTAAGATGCTGTACCATGTATTGCTATATATTGAGGATAAAAAAAGGAACTGAAGAAGTAGCGGAAAAAAGATGGGGAGAAATAAAATTGGCTTCTCTTTAACACGACAAGGAAGAGAAATTGAATTCTCTGTTACAAGATGCTTGTATATAAGATGTAACGGTATTGCTTACTCTTACACTGTCCCATCAGGGGAGAGTTTTAAATGTCTTGACTGCAGGCATAACCTTTTTTTCATCACAATTTATTACAAGAATAAGAGAAGCACTTCGGAGAGCTCAGACCAGGAAAGTTTTAGCTTTATACAAATGTATAAGGTGGGGGGGGGGGGGGTGGGTTACCTTGGTTAGTTATTGGCTAATGGTTACACAAGCCAAAAAAATCGTTATGACATCATAAAGTGGCCAAAATCTGATCAGCTCATTTTCAGACAGGTTTTTATATAAATGGATCAGTGACAAAAGTGAGCTAATCTTTTTTCCTGAACCTTTCAGAATCTCTTTACACAGAGGGGACACAATGTTTATGTATAAAAGACATGAACAAGTGGATTTTGCATAATAGGTTCCCTTAAAGTCTAACAAAACAAAACTTTTTTTATTTCTGGCTTTCTCCTTTGTATACTTTGTTATCTCCACATAATTTCACAAAACTGGTCCAATGAAAAATGACCAGAACTGAGTCCACACCATATGACGTTACAAGCAAACATAATTTATTCACCTAACTTCAAAACAAATATGGAAATTAGAAATGAAAGCAAATCATGGAGGTGTGAGGTCTGTGTTATTAAATCAAACTGAAAGTAATGAACATTTTCCGACAGATGTCTTGTACTTGTTAGTTCATTTTAAATGATGGCTGTTCATAAATTGTTCATTGTTCAGACAATTGTTGCAGCTCCATCTATCTCAACCCCCACCTTTTTCTATGGTTTAATTTTTAAAACTAGTTTGTGGCCAAAAGTAAATTACATTTTCTCCTCCAAAACATATATACAGTTTTAGAAGAAAGACTTACACAAGTGAAGTCTCATTGTGTATCAAAGGTCAAGTAGGACAAGTCATCCTCAGTCAGGCAAAAGACGTCATCTAATTGCTTCATAAAATCCTGGGTTTGTTAACCTTAAAAGGTCTCAAAGTTTAATAATCCGCATTTCAATCACTGGTTGAACTCTGGCATTGTTTTGATAAAGTGCCATAAAGAAAGACTTCACCCCTTGTTGTCATATCCTATCTATTTGCTGCTTCTCTCATCCCTTTGTATAACCTTCCTTTTAGAATAACTGATCCAAGAGTATTATGAGTAGAATAAAGATGTACACTAAGCTGAAGGCTCGTGTGGTACAGATGTTTAGATCATGTATGTAAATTCCCTTCCATTCGTTCCTTTACCAAGTTTAAGCAGAACAGATTAACGTTACTTATCTACAACAATAGGCCAAAGGGACCCAGTATAGTTGTCAACTGTGTCATGTGCTGCATTTAAAGAGGTTTTTTTTTACTCTCTTCGACATCATGGGAAATGTCTCTCCTGTGGGGTTTTCAAAGTTCACGTACTGCCTGCGTAGAATTAAAGAGGCCTGACACTAAGACCACAAAGCCCACAGAAAATGTGTGACATGAGAACAAGACGCTGCTGTTGTGGTTTGATTTGTTACTGTGTGTATTTGGTGACATTTGGTAAAGATTCACATGTGATAATGCTACGTGTCAGTGTCACCTCGAAGCATATAGGCACAATTAGTTCGTACCCCATGACCATACAAACTATTCTCGGCTACTTCATACTTCTTCACTTTCATAATGAAATGTTGTACTT